AAAATATGTATACTGTACGGGCACCGAGAAGGGGCTTAGCATATGGTAAAAAGTTAATCAGTAACTGAATAAAAAAAAGAGACCCGACCAAGAGGTCACCTTAACACCAAAAAAAACCAATTTTATAGTTTCATTGATTACTTCTTCTGAATAATTCTGAAATAGGCATTGTAAAAACACCTTCTGCATAGCTTTATCTTCATTTTCTGCTCTTAATATTATACTGGCCAGATCTATCTTTTTAGCTTTTGTAAACCAGGTTGAAAAAGCATATTCAGCTCTATCTACCTTGAATCTATCTTTTGCAGTCCGAATTCCATTTTGCCATATTACATGATGTTCTTTGTTATCGGGATATAGGACTAGCCATAGTACTTCTATATCTAAATCTAGAAATTTATCTTTGTGATTAAGCAATTCTTGAACAGGTTGCAATTCTATATTATCTGATAGTATTTGTCTGTGGAGCAGGACACTTTGTGTCTGAGTTACTATTTCTTCTGATTCAGTAAGTCTACTTTCACGATGAGCTTGGGTTCGAGGACCTGGACCAGCTTCGGGATCGATTTCTGGCTGTACCATTAGAGATGGGTCATGCTGAAGATTTGCTTTCTCGATTTCAGATTCATCAAAGAATTTTTGCTCTTTACACTTTTCTTTTTCTGTTGCAGGTTGGAAATATGCATTTGGATCTAGTTGTAATAATTCATCATAAAGAGCCTTGGTTTCAGCCAAATTTTTTGGCTGACCACGATTCTTGTCACTTAATTTTTTGACTTTTTTTTGTAATCTCGATCCTCATTGTTTAACAGATTTGCCTGATTTTCTAGCATTGGGATCTTGAGACTGTAAATTTGAATTAGTTATAGGTTGAGTATTATGAGATAGTTGCAATAAAGCTTGACATGGTCTATTTCGTGTTAGATCCATATGCTTATTAAGATCTCTTGTTTTCCCAGTTTTAGGGCTCCATCCACATCTTGAGCATTTACCTACCATGTTTTCCAGTGTTTTTTATTATATATTAATTATTCAGATCTTTTGT